TATATAGGATCTGAACCTGTGGCCTTGGTGTTATCAGCACCACACTCTCCCGAGTGAGCCAGGGGCCGGCCCTTGAATGTTCTCGTTCTTAGGAAATACACATTAAGGGCTAAAGGGGCATGATGTCTCCAACTTATTTGTAAATGGTTTGGGAGAGAGAGAGAGTTTATATAGAGAGAGAAAGAGAGTATAAGACAAATGTGTCAAATTAACAGTTGGTGAATCTAGATAAGAGCGTAGGAGAGTTCTTTGGAGTATACATGCAACTTCGTTGAAGTTTGATATTATTTCCAAATAAAAAGAAGAAGAAAAAGACCTCAGAGGCTGTAGCTGGCCGGCCTGTGTTAGAGTCTCATCAATGCTTTCCGTGTAAACGTGGGCAGTTTTCTAACCTCACTGAGCTTTGGTTTTATCATCTGTAAGATGAAGGTTGTCATTGTGAAGTGGCAGTGGGTGTTAGCTGTGATAATATCGATAGAATTAGGAAAGGGAGGAGTCCAGGGTGACATTGTGGTGCTGAGACCAAAGTAAAACCCAAACCGAGGACTGTCACCTTCCTCTACTTGATGGTGCTGGGTTGCAGGCTCTCTAAGGGTATGGTAGGGACCACTAGTGACCTGGCCACCACGAGGCTTCACCTTCAGAGGGCTTTAAGAATGGTCACCTGAGCCTAAAACCCAAACCGAGGACTGTCACCTTCCTCTACTTGATGGTGCTGGGTTGCAGGCTCTCTGAGGGTATGGTAGGGACCACTAGTGACCTGGCCACCACTAGGCTTCACCTTCAGAGGGCTTTAAGAATGGTCACCTGAGCTTGTTAGGCTCCACTGGTAAAACCCAGGTCTCCTGGCAGCTCACCCCCAACCCCTCTCCTTCCTGGGCACTGCCATTCCTGTCCTGCAGTCCAGGCTCCCCAGTCTTGACCTGTTGGGTCTACATTGAACTGCACGTGACTTTGGGCTGACCATTGAAAACTCCACGGTTTGGAGGCCTCATGGCTTGCTGAGCAGACATGAGAACTGGGCACAGCGATGCCTGCTGTGGTCAGAGATTTGTAGGAGTCATTACCAATGGGGACATGTAGACACAAAACAGGTGCTCATTTTATCCTCCACCACCACCAATACACCCCCAAAACCTTGCTCAAAACTCACCCACCCTCTGGGTAGCTTCCCTGGGTGATTTCCTGTCATGCACCCGGGTGCTGTGCACACCTCCTGGTGTTTCTTTGTGAATGTCTGTGTTTCCCACAGCGGGTATCTTCTGACTGTCTTGATGACTTCAACCCTCTCAGACTGGGCCTGAGGGCCCATCTGGACCTGTGTGCACTTTGGGGCATGAGCCTTCTCTGTAAGAATTTTTTGCATTTGAATTTGCAGTTTCACCTAGAAAAATTGATGCGGACGTGTTCTGCATCACCTGTGTGAGCCTCACAAGTGAGGTTCACACCATTCTGTTCCCTGTTTGTGTCCCTGTTTATGACCATGTTGGTATGCAGCAGTGTTGCTCTGTGATGCCTGAGAGGACCAATGCAGGCAAATTAAGCTTCCAAGTGACCCATTTGTGCCAGGCAAAAGCCAGATGACATCATCCACGTGGAGAGCGAAGATTTCTTTATCATTGGAGGCTGAAAAGTGGTGCGGGGCCTGTGGGGGAGCTGTGGGAGGTCAGGCCGTCCCATCCCACGCTGGAGCCTTGGCTTATCCTCAGTGAAGACTGGTGTCGCCCATCTCACTGAGCCAAGCAGACTTGGATTTGTTGGGGGTTTCCCCTTTTGAAGGAGTTCCATAATTACTTTTTGATAAGGACATAGAGTCATAGTCATCAGCTGTTGACACAGGATTAAGGTCTCCAACTTTGTCTTTGTTTTGCTCTTTATACAAAAGCAAGCAGATATTATTCATATCAGGATTTTAGTCTCAGAATGTGAACTCCTAACTAAATGTTAAACATACCTTAATAATTAAACTTGTTAAGTTTTATGAGTACCACTCAGAGGCTGCGAACACTTTGCCAAAGGGTAAATACCTTTGTCAGAAAATCTGATCTCCTATAAATGTCTGAATTTATCAATAGCATTAGATTAATATTTAATTTTGGAGCACATGTAAGCATTACATTACGAATACAGTTCCATGTACTACTTCTGGTAACAAAAAACAAGGCAGGGGGAGGTCGGGAAGAGATCATTCCAAGGATAAGCTTGAGTTAGTGAAATTTGTTTGCTCTTAACTAACTCACAGTTAGTGAGTCACATCAGTGCAGGTTCAAAAGCTTCCATAATTCAGCACTAGTAATTCTGACTGAATTTAGGATAAAAATACTTTTCAATGACAAAAATTCTGTAATTTTCAGCTGGAACTCTTGAACAGCCTTGAAAAGTCAAATTGCTGTTAATAGTAATATAAAGCCTTCTATGCTGCTGCCGACTCCCCTCCTGGCCTGGCCCTGCCAGGTCTTCTGCAGCCTGGGTCTGGCAGGTGTTGTCAGTCCAGTCCCCCTCACCTCAGTAGCCCTGCTCTTGGGTGGGTGACTGGTGAACAGCTGGTTCTGGCAGTCCTGCAGCTGGTTACCCAGGTTCAAGTGTCGAGGCCATCAGGAGGGAGGTTGACTTTAGACCAGCGCTTACAAATGTGCACCCATTTCTACCAGGAGCAGTGAGACCAGCAGCCCCAGCCCTTGGGCCTGCACGTTGTCTTCACTCAATTTGAATAGTTGCCACAAATTAGAAATTAGGACATTTCCATTTTAGATGGATTTGTGGCTTCTCTGGAAAAGTCAGAAGAGTATTGTTAAAGACTGAATTGTGTTCCTCTAAAGTTCGTAAGTTAAAGCCCTAACGCCCAATGCAATTGTATTTGGAGATAGGGCCTTTAAGAAGGTAATGAAGGTTAAATGAGGTCATGAGGGTGGGGCCCTAATCTGATAGGACTGTTGTCCTTATAAAAAGAAGAAAAGAGACAAGATATCCATATCTCTCTCCCTCCCTCCCTCCCTCCTTCCCTCCATCCCTCTCTCTCTCCCCCTCCCTCTCTCCCTCTGTCCCCCCTTCCCCTCCCTCCCTCCCTCCTCCTCCTCTCCCTCTGCCCCCACCTCCCTCCACACATGCACAGAGAAGAGGCCATGTGAGGACACAGTGAGAAGTGATCATCTACAAGCCAACAAGAGAGGCCTCACCAGGAACCAACCCTGACAGCACCTTGATGTTGGACTTCTAGCCTCCAGACCTGTAAGAAAATACATTTCTGTCATTTAAGCTGTCTAGTCTGTGGTATTTTGTTATGGTAACCTGAGCAGACTAATGCAAGTAGGTACCACCAGGCCACTTTTCCTGCCAGGCCCTTATCGGCTGGAGCTTTAACCTGGGCATTGGGCCTCTAGGTCACATGGCCCACCTTTGGCTTTACTTTTTCCATTGGCTCTTAGCCCTAGTAAGCATGTGAGTTTGCACCCCCACTAGGCCTGGAATTCCTGGGGCTTTTACTCCTTATCAGACCTCAAGGCCCTTGCAGGCTTTTCTGTGCCTGTATCTGGGGCCGACCAGGAGTGGGGTCTACACCCTTCGCCAATGACGACTATCAGATGGTGAGCCCCTGCATACAGGTGGCCTCCATCCCAGGCGCACAGCTCTTAGTGGTGTCTGCAGGTGTACCAGCTTTATCAACACCTTCCTCCAGTGCTTCTTGGAACACATGGGATCCTAGAAAGAAGGATTCACTAAGTCCATGGGAATCGGATAATATTTAACTGCTCTGGGAGCTGAGAGAAGTGGTTTAAGGGGGTGAATTGGCAGCATCCTTCTGTCTCAGTTCCTAAAAGGCCTTTTTAGGCATGTTTTTAATTTTTATCTTTCTTTTGAAAAAACTTCTTGCTCTGTAACGCTTTATCCTGGCTGAGCCACAAGCTGTTTATTCCCCACACAAGTTGGGTCCTAAATCTGGTGCCTGAGGTAAAGGAGGCAGAGAAAGATAAACATGGTGACATTTGGGTATGCTGGTCTGCTTTGCCCTGGCATGCCGAGGAGATGAGGTCCACATGGTGTCTGGGTTGTTAGCATAAGGCAGTCCTTAGGATCCATGTTCAAATCCTGACTCCATTCTATACAACCTGAGGGACTTGGACGAGTTTGCTTAGCTTCTCCCAGGCTCTGTAAAACAGGGGTAATAGAAATAGTGTTAGCTTCTGGGCCGGCCCGGTGGCGCACTGCTATAGTGCGCCGCTTGGGAGCGCGGCGGCGCTCCCGCCGAGGGTTCGGATCCCACATACAGACCAGTTCCTGCTCACTGGCTGAGCGAGGTGCGGGCACAACACCGAGGGTTGCGATCCCGTTGCCGGTCCCGGTCCGGTACGGGCGCGACACTGAGGGTTGCGATCTGTTGCCAGACATGAAAAAAGACAAAAAAAAAAAAAGAAATAGTGTTAGCTTCTTAATGTTGGCTAAGGTACATATCACCATTCTGACAGGCCCTGGCAGGTGGGATGGAGGGCTTAGCATCTAATTAAAAACAGCCCCGCCCCCAATCTCAAAGGCTGGTTTCTGCCTAGTTGCCTGTTTGCCCCACAAGGTTCCCACTCATGTTTCCTGGTCCCATGACCTTTGCCCCAAGGGAGCTCAGTGCTTGGCTGGGTCTGGCCTCTGCACACATAGTCAGCCATGTCCAGAGGAGGACCCTGGCCTCCTGGCCGCCTGTGGCCACTGCCCCACATCCCCACCTGCTGCCCAGCCTGCCTTGGACCACAGGGATGCTTGGGAGAAGGGCAGGTGGCAGAATGATCTAGTAGAGAGGGGGTGAGTACCTGAGGGCTGAGGAGAGTCTTTGCTCCCCCCTTTCCTGGGACACAGAAGGGGCTCAGTAGGTAGCAGTGCTTGCCAAACCTGACTGCAGGCAAGGCTGGAGCCTGCACCACTGCTCGGAAGTGGGTTCACCAGGAGAGGTGGAATTAAAGGCAGCAGGTGAGGGAGAGGCAAATGCCAGCTCTGCTTTTGAGCCCTCAAAGTACGCAGAGGAGGATGGGCTTCTTAGGAGTGGGAGGGAGTTTCCCATCATTGTGGAGTAAGATTTGTGATGCTGGGATTCTGGCCTCTGCTTCCATTTCAGCAGAACCAGGTGACAGACGAAGTGGGGCATGGAGGTGTTTAGTCTGAAAGAATCCTTATTCCCTTGTCACTGGTGCCCTGGGGAGGCTCTTGGCACATAAAGTTGGCCTGAACAATTAGTCAAACATCAGGATCAGATAGTGTCACTAAAACCAAGCCACATCATGCAGAAGGCAGCAGCCTAGCCCCAAGTCTTTCCCAGGCTCCAAGGCCACCGAGGGCGACCTGAGTTCTTTGCCTCTCTGCCACTGCCCTGTTGTCACCGAGACTGGCAGCTTCTCCAGGCACTGGTAGCCTCCAGGAGCAGTGAAAAGTGGCCTGGAGAAAGGGGACGTCACTGGGTCTGATGCCCGTTAAGCAACCTGGTTCAGTTATTCTTCACAGTTTCGAATTTTCCTCCTAGAGAATTGTGTGTTTATTTCCAGGAACATTTTGACATGGTGGTAGGAAAGACCTCTTTATCTTCTTTAGGGTTAGGGATCTGATTAATGAACTGTTTGCCTCCATCTGTTATTTTGTGAAAACATTTCTGAGGATTTTGCCTGATCCTTCCATTCTACCGGCTTATGTTGGCTGCTGCAGTGCTGGGGGCGGGAGGGCACACGGGAGTGCAGGAAACAGACTGAAGTGTGAGAAATAGACTGGAAGGGTTTTACAGTGACCACTGATGGCCCAAGTACTTGTTGACTTCATCCTACCACCCCAGCCTACTCCGCAGTAGGTAGAAGTGCCAGGGCAGCTTTCCGTATGTCTCCACAGTGATGAAATATGATGGTATCTGTGTTAATGAAAGTTCCCCCAGACAGATCCTGAGACAAGGATTCAAGTGCAAGTAGATTATTTGTACTTGGTCCTGATAAACATGAGTAGGGGAGTGGGGAATTGAGACTGGGAAGGGAAGGCAGCCAAAAAGGGGTATGCTTTAGGCCTTTTACCATGTGGACAACTGGAGCTTAATCCTGTTGGGAACCTGGAGCTGGGAGCTGGTATAGCACATGCCTCAGAGGTATCCCATCTGGGGAGTGCAGGGGCATGGCCTTTTATGCACCTGTTCCCTTGCATTCCTGTTGTTGGTGCAGACTGCCTGGCTCATAAGCGATAAAGTTGTTAGAGACCTAGGCAATCCAACCTCCAGGACCCATGCTTTAACACCACGCCATTTCTATGAAGTGTTGGTCTGTCCATCCCCAGCAAAGCTTTCTGGTCATTTTCCCCTTGGAGGGGTAACTCAGGAACTTCAGGTAGCCCATGAAGGTCCATGTGGGCCAGTCTGTATTTGTCCTGCCTTCCATCAACACCATTCTGACAGGCCCTGGCAGGTGGGATGGAGGGCTTAGCATCTAATTAAAAACAGCCCCGCCCCCAATCTCAAAGGCTGGTTTCTGCCTAGTTGCCTGTTTGCCCCACAAGGTTCCCACTCATGTTTCCTGGTCCCATGACCTTTGCCCCAAGGGAGCTCAGTGCTTGGCTGGGTCTGGCCTCTGCACACATAGTCAGCCATGTCCAGAGGAGGACCCTGGCCTCCTGGCCGCCTGTGGCCACTGCCCCACATCCCCACCTGCTGCCCAGCCTGCCTTGGACCACAGGGATGCTTGGGAGAAGGGCAGGTGGCAGAATGATCTAGTAGAGAGGGGGTGAGTACCTGAGGGCTGAGGAGAGTCTTTGCTCCCCCCTTTCCTCATTTCTCTGAACGTCTTGCCTTCTGATATTCCTGAGTGTGTCTATTTTAGCTTTAGCTTTTGTTGGGAGCCCTTCTTGTCTGTGATCTTAGCAAAACGTGCATCAGCTCATGCTGCACGCACCTGCCTCCCACCTCCCCAGGGTGGGGTTATTTATTTTATTTTTTCCAAATATTAATTTATTTCTTATTCACTCTCTAGAATTCTCTTGTCATTTATAACAATGGTTTATTTGATTCTTTATTGTTTCCTTTTAAACTTTATATTATGTCAAACAAACACAAAAGAGAATCGTGTAAAGAACCCTGTCATCATCTTCCACGTTGATCCGTATCCCACTGTTGGGTTCTTTCTGTCTCTACGCTTTGTTTTGCTGGAGTATTTTAGAGGAAACCACATACATGTCATTTTACCTATAAAGACTTATGTTCTCTTGTTTCTTAAGTTATCTAACTTTTTTTATAACTTTTTAATTTGAGTAAATTTTAGATTTACAGAAAAGTTACACAAACTACTTCACCCAGCTTCCCCTAATGTCTTACATAGCCACAGTACAGTGATCAAAACTTTGAAATTCACACAACACAGTAACTAAACCACAGACCTTATTCAAACTCTGCCAGTTGTCCCACTAATGTTCCTTTTCTGGTCCAGGATCCAAACCAGGATCTCATATTATGTTTGGTTGCCACATCTCCTTAGTATCCTCTAATCTGGGACAGCTCATCAGTCTTCCTTGTCTTTTATTCAACTTTAACTCTGTTGAGTACTGGGCAGGTCTTTGGTAGAACATCCCTCAATTTGGGTTTAAGATTTTCTCTATTAAGTAACCTACAGACTTTTAGAGCTGGGACCAGAGCTAGAACTAGGGTTACCCATTTAGAAATACAGACTGAAGTTATGTATTTGGGGCAAGAAAACCACAGAAGTGAGGTGCCCTTCTCCCTGTGTCATATCGAGGGGTACATGACATCGGTATGTTCTTGCCAGTGATGTTCATTTTGCTTACTTGATTCAGGGAATGTGTGCCAGGCTTCTCTACTGTAGTTTCTATTTTTAACTTTGTTCTCAGCCCTTGTTCAGAAAGAGCCTTGAAGACCTGCACCAAGGAGGTGAAGTTCATGGGCCCGCTACTCTCCTCTTTGCAGGATCTTCAGGGAACCTGTGACTTCATCCTCTTCTCTTAGGGCCAGGAAGGCCCTTTGGGATGTCAGTGAGTGGGAGTTTTAAAGGACTAGCTTTGAGTCCATAGGGATTCATTTAAATTTTAAATCATCTACAGACTTTGGGACTTGCATTGCCATGAGGAATTCATAAGAGGGCTCCTGTGCCCCCTTCATACAGAGCATGACCCACTGGGTTACTGTGCTCGCTCTCCTGCATGCCCCCATCCTAATGCCCAGGCTGTCTTCTCCCATTTTGAGTCGGGGGACACTGAGCATGGCGCTCCCC